TTCTTAGTGCTGTGCTTTAACCCGCTGCGCCACCAGGGAGGGCCAGAATGAATATTTTTAACGACTGGCACAGGGTCGCTTTAGTTATGTGTATATCTGTTATACTGTTATTGCATATATACAGTATATATTATAAATAAGATATTATACATAATTATTTATATAAATTGTATTGTATACATGTGTATTGTACATGGGAGGGAAGCTTGTTATTTTCAACTCTTCAATGTTTTTCTCACATCTTAAAAGAAGTTCTCAAATTACAGAAGAAATACAATATGTTATGATTTAAAGGGTACACATCTTATCACTCAATAATTGTACTTTTAAATATTTTAGAAGGCCTCCCTGGTGCTGTAGCAGGTTAAAGCTCTGCACTATGAAGCTCTCTGCAGCCACTGTGGACACGAGTTCAATCCCCAGCCAGGGAGGTGACCCACATGGTGAAGCAGACCTCTCCTGCTGCTCCCTTCAGCAGTGTATTTCAGTAGATCTGCCTGTTCTGTGCCCCACTAAGTCTCACCTCCCTCTGCATCTCTGGCCTGTACCCCAGTTCTTATATGCATAAATAAATAACTCTAAACATTTTTTAGAGAAACACATGCCCACAGGTGCAAAGGGGTGTATGCAAATATATTCATAGCAGCACTGTGAGCATGGAATATTGGAAACCACCTTAAATGTCCATCAATAGGAAAAGGAATGAACTCTTGGCCTACATATTCCATATGAAACAATATAGCAGCCAAAAGAAATATGCCCCCCACACACACACATTTTGCTATGGGAAGAGGTCCCAAGGTATACTCCATTGCCTAAAGGGAGTGATCAACAGAATAACAGATATTACATATAATTTTCTAATAGTAAATGCATTTGCATATATAAACGTAACGGGGAACCAGGAATCAAATACATCAAAATGACAGCATTAGCCTTGCAGTGGGTGGTGAGGTAGGAGGTCAAAAGGAGATAGATGGAGGGTTACAGTCTTGCTAGACTTGTTATATGACAATGCTTTGCATCATATTACATTCCTGTACTGTATGGTTTAAATTTTCAAAAATAACATTCAATTGTCTCTTTCTAACCAAATAATAATAAGGAAAAAGTGATAGATACTTTCTACTTTCTACTCCATAATTTGCTTATGTCTTCCCCTTCATTGGTGAACATTTTGGTTGTTTCCTTTTTTTTTTTTCAAACATCGTTGCAAGCAGAACAAGATTACTTTTTATCCCATCCTATTATTATTTCTGTTGTGTAGATTCTTAGCACTTTAGACAAGGCTAGAGTATTTAAAATTTTGATAGATGCCACCAAATTGCCCTCCAAAAGAGCATACTACTGCTTCATTGAATAGTAGCTTGGTGATAACTCCCTATTTCCATTATCAACATCTCAACAATAGCAGCTACTTCAAGATAAACTCTGCCTAAGTCAACAGTGGGCTTAATTCCTTCCCAATGCCTGTTGACCACTGGTAGGACAAGTGCAGGGTTTGCCACATTAGCCAATCAGTGAAGGAGACTAGGGAAGGTGGGAGGGGCAAGAAGGGACTGACAGCAGCCTAATTCTGCAGAGACCCTGAAGCAGAGACAAACTAATGACCCCCCTGGGCCTTGTTGACCGCAGACATGTTTTCTTCAGCTCATACCATGGCAGGTTACAACCGTGTCTAAAAGAATCCGAATCTTTGCCAAGCGTTAAGGAAGCAGGAATTCCCATTCATGCTCCCTTCGATGTGGTTCTCCAAGTGAACAATCAGCAAGTCTTATAATATTTTGATCTTTACATTTTTACTCAGCCCTGTCCTGGGTCCCAACAAACAGGGGTGGGGCCCTCCCTGGTGGCACAGAAGCCAGCCCCAACTGCTTCCGTACGTTTGATCCCTGACCAGCAGACCTCTCCTGACCCGCCCTCAGTTCCCCTCAGCAGTGTATTTCAGTCAGTCTGCCTGTTCTGCTCCCCACACTGCCTCTGGTGAATCCTCTCACCCCCTGCACCTCTGGCCTACACCCCAGTTCTGTATGCATAAATAAAAATAAATCTTTAATGAGGCAAAGAGGAGTAAGGTCAAAGTAGGTGGATCACAATGGAATATAAGCAGTTTGTGGTTTGGTGGTGACTGTGACTGCCTGAAAGGGCAAATGCTACACTTCCAAAACAAAACATTATTGGAAAAAAAAATGTTACCCCATAAAACAGACTATTAAAATCTACGCTTTTGTAAAGACCACTATATAAATTGAGTAGATGCTGGACATACTTAAGCAATTTTAAATAAATACACACCTTTGTTTTTACTTTCAAAAAAAGAAAAAAAAATCCCCGACTTAGTTAAATAGAGCTGCAAAGAAACGTCCTCTAAGGTTCTCAGCACCAGGCATCTCAGAGTGGGGATGGCTGCTCGTTTTGTGACTTACAGGAAAGACAGATACCACATCAGTGCCAAATGCCCAGTGTTTTTCCTGAGACCCTTGGACACCGTTTTAGGAAGAGACACTCTGTGAAGCAATTAGGGGCAATTTCTCACTATGCCTGGGTGAATACATCCTGCAGACCTAGGAAGACAAGGAGTGATGGAGTGACAGGAAGTGGGACCACAGTGAGAATGAGTTTGCAGCTAGACAAGATGGACGAGACTGTCCCAGACCCCTGAGGTTGATGTATATGGATGGCAGCCATCTAATTGTGTTAAGGACTGAATGCTTGACACACAAAGGTCAACTGCCCAGAATTACCAGTCATTGAACGTATTGTAAGAGAGCAGTGAGTCTCACAGTTCCCCTGACTGCTGAGTGGGAGGCTGGGGTGCAGCAGGGCTGACTGGTAGACTTTGAAAGAACAGCTTCTGTTGCTTTTCCAGCTTTGCCTTACACCTTGGTATCTCAGCTGCTGCACTGCTAGTAGGATACTGGCCAGTTAATCTCTTTCCTTCTCCCCAACCCCTTGTAAATAAATCTTTTTAAAACTAGTAAGTAAATAAATAAATGACAGGACCTCCCTGGTGGTGCAAGGGGTGAAAGCACAGCACTATGAAGCTGTGTGCAGTCACTGCAGCAAGAGTTAGATCCCCGGCCAGGGGGCTGACCCACATGGCACAGCAGACCTCTCCTGACCCACCCACTGCTCCCCTCAGCAGTGTACTTCATCAAATCTGCCTGTTCTGCTCTCCGCTCTGTCTCTGGTGAATCCTCTCACCTCTCCCCCACACCTCTGGCCTGTACCCCAGTTTTTGTATGCATAAATAAATCAATCTTTAAAAGAAATGACAGAACAGGAATGCAGAGATTGGCAGTTTTCCAACTAGGTCTTGCTCTCCACACGTGGGCTCCAGCTTGAGCCCAGGCCTCAGCTGACTGGAAACTCTGAGGTAGGAGAAAGGGCATACAGCCTTGTGCTGGCCAGTGTATTTTCTTTCTTTCTTTTTCTTTTTTTAAGCTAAACCTTGCCTTCAGGTTTTTTTTAATTTTTTTTTTAAGATTTATCATTTATACATACAGAACTGGGGTGTAGGCCAGAGGTGTGGGGGGATGAGAGGATTCACCAGAGACAGAGTGGGGAGCAGAACAGGCTGACTGAGGAAGTACACTGCTGAGGGGAGCAGCGGGTGGGTCAGGTGAGGTCTGCCGCATGTGGGTCACCTCTGAGGTGGGGATCAAACTGGAACTGAAGCGGCTAAGGCTCGCTTGCAGTGCTGAGCCTTAACCATTGTGCCACCATGGAGGGCTACATTTTCTTTTCTTATGCTCACACCCTTATTTCCTCACTCCCTGTGTTTTAATAAACAGTTTTTGCTTCTGCTTTCAGGTTGTGTACTGCATTCTGAAGCTTGCAGATGAGGGCCCACCAACTGGGTTATTTCTGGAACTCTGGGTTTGCCCTGGTTCAGTAAAAACCCCTTTAGTCACAAATACTGCTCCATTTTCTAGATTATAAAGCAAATTTTCCTTGGATAGATTCTAGTGCATGGGGTAAGACTTTCAAATCATCTCTCAAACTTTGGTGTCTGCTGCAAGAAAAACCTAGTTCCTTTGTCATAAAGTCAGATTTTCTCCCACGTTTGAAACACTGTTATCAAGGATAGAGTTTTTTTTTTCAATCTTTGAAAATGTAATCTGCAGAATCGTAAGATTACTTTATAAATGTGATGAATGTAGGTGGTGAAAATGCTTTCTGTGACTCATAATTAGATAACACCCAACTTGGAGAGAAGAGCAGAAAAGTACTTTTTACTAGAGAAATGTAATGAGCTGCTGCCATCCTTTAGGGCAGTATACTGGCACTTTACAAACATAAAATTACAGTTTTATAAAAGTCCCAGTTAGTAGTTATATTTGAATACCCTAATTTTACATACTTAGTCTTTAATTAAAAAAATAACAACAGCAACAACTCAATTGCAAGTTGAAAAATAAGGGCAATGTTCCTTACCAAAAATAGTCATTAAAAGCTAACAAATAGGGCCCTCCCTCGTGGCGCAGCGGGTTAAAGCACTGCACTAAGAAGCTTAAGGCCACTTCCCATAAGATCGATCCCCACTTGCCCCAGAGGAGATCCACATGGTGTGGCAGACCTCTCCTGACCCGACCGCTGCTCCCCTCAGCAGTGTGCTTCATCGATCTGCCTGTTCTGCTTCCCACTCTGTCTCTGGTGAATCCTCTCACCCTCCGCATCTCTGGCCTGTACCCTGTTCTGTATAAATAAATAAATCTTTAAAAAAAAAAAAAGCTAACAAATAGTTACAGAATGTATTTTACATTGGCTTTTAAAAATAAAACTTGGCTTTAAAATCATACAAGGCATAAAATAGAAGCTAGTAATTACACTGTAATGGTGAATACTGGGTTTGAGTTGCTAATTCAATGCTATTTACTCTGTGAATATATCTATGTGTCTGACCTTCATTTCTCGTTCTCATGCCTCTATTAAAGATCTCTTAAGAGTAAGCAAAATGTCATTACTTTAAATATTCAATGATGATCCAGAAGCAAAAGTACAGCACAAGAAGATAACCTTTATTATAGTTTAACTAGGAATAGAGCAGGTAGCAAGTTCACGAGGTATTTTTGATTTTTATTCTTTAAAAATCAGGCTTCATTAACAATAATCAAAAGCAAGCCTTAACTGCACAGACATTTTGATCACTATTCTAATCTTCAAGGGCACAAAGCCACCAGCATAAAGTAACAGAAAGGTAATGAGTATGAGCATTTATGATGTGAAAAAAAAAAATGGAGATCACTGCATTAAACTATCCTTGTATTCCATGAGATTCTTCTCAAATACTGAACAATTACTGTTATTCAGCAAAATCTCACACATGCATAGTACTCCTACGAGAATACTATCTCCATGTCAATACCAATCTTTTCCTTTCCTGCAAACTTCAAAGATTCATAGTTCTACTCCTTAAGTGTACTAGTTAGTAGTAAGATGCAAACTTGACTTTGCTTTCAAGGTTACATAGCAGATTGACTTCGCATTTGGTGCCCAGCTGTGTACTCTAATTTTGCTTTTATTTTCTTAATAAATTTCACTACATTTCATTAGCCCTGAGATAGTCAATAAGCTGCTTGTGATTGTATACTTTTCAATGATACTTACTCCACTCAATTTGAACCTCACAAAAGTACTTAAAATTATTTGCAGATGGTGTGGTAACTAAAGCAATGACAGAATTTATATTTGTATAGTTAGGCTGCTAAGAAAGCCTTTAAGTAAGAGTTGCATATTTTTATGTATTTTTTCCTTGCTAGAAGCAATTTTTAAAATTACAGCTATACTTCTCTATAATAATAAGTGCTTTTCATTTTGTTCTCTTCTACTTAGACAGACTTAGTTTTTGTTTCTCTTGTAATACAATCTTTTTTTTCTTCCCAAAACATAAATGTTACTTATCCAGCTGAACAGGTGCCCAGAAAACACTTTAGACTTTGAGAAGCAGATTGATAACTATAATGCCTGCCAGAGAAAGATGCCCAGAAGAGGAACTGAATACATGTTCCTTCCACATGGAGTAAGTCAATTGTAAGGTTGCTGTAGTGTGTTTTCATCACATGTTACAACTAATTTTGTTGAATGAGGGAATTCAGGTTACCAGATTTAACTTCTCTTCATATGTATATCCAAGAACTTGAAATTTAAAAAGTGGATTGAACAATTCTCAGGAAAGTAAGCAAGTTAATAAAAATCACTAATACAGTATTAGTTGATAGAAAACAAAAACAATTACTTTCCACTATCCACTATATTGTATGTCCAACCAAGTGAGGAGAAAGAATGAAACTAAGAAATGTTAGCTAACACAATTTTCTCCATATTTCTCCTTGCAGGTTTTTGTTCATATGTTCATTTTTATTAATGTCTCTAGCTGAGAGAGTTTTATTATCTTGAAGGATTTTCCCATCTCCTTAGTTATGGATGGCTAGCAAAAAGCTGGTGTAAATATGAGACTTTATTTTCAGATCATGCCATATATCTGTATTTGTTTTTTGCTAACACTAAATGTCTTCTATTTAAGTGATGCTGTATAGAATATGAAATAATCTGCAAATTTACTGATCGCTTGCTTATAATGATCAGTTTTTGTTGACAGCTTTGAAACATTCAGCACACCTGTCATCTAACATGTTAATAAGGAATGATTACTCTTTTCAGAAAGGATCAATGATAAATTCTTCAGTTAATTGCTTTGACCGAACATTTTTACTAAATCACAGAACAATAGCGATAGCAAAAACATTGACGATACAGTTCATGGTTCGGTTCTCCCATCGTACAGTACAGGTTCCTGAAAACACAAAAAAAGGACTTTGAAATACCAAAACATCAAAATTACCAGGGAAACAGGTGAATGTGTTTTTCATAGGTTTTAAGATCCTATTTCCTACCATTTGTCAAATCTTTACATTTCATTTTTACCTGAAGGCATACTTGTTTCTAGGTACAAAGCAATTCTGCTGATAATCTTTCTAGAACTTAATTGGAGTTAAAGAAGTACTGATAATAGGTGTTCTGTTTCACTTTGCCAGAAGTTGATTTTTGTTTGTATCAGCTTAAAGTGTCTTACCATCAGAGGTGGTATCCCAGAAACATGAGCTGGCTGTGTGGAATCCATATGCGCTCCTCTGGGCCACAGCACAGGTCACTGAAAGCAAAGTCATCAGTGAGAACACTTATGAAAAGAGAGCTCAGATCTAAGAGTGTGAGTTCAGTGGTCCAAAATTTTTTAAATGACAGAAGACACAGCATAAGGAAAACAGACTGAAGAAAATAACATGCTCAATATCCATAATTTTGATTATCTACCATCAGCATTCTGATCCTACTGTATTTGGTCTGTCTGTTGCACATGGCCATAATCACTGGTAACTGCACTGCAGGAAAATTCTGGATTGAGTTATATGCCTTGTCCCATGGGCATAATCAGATGCAAAAATAAGAAATGATTCCACTTTACCATTTCTGTGTGGCCCTTCACAATGCTACATGTAACAAAACATAAGCATAGGTCAGCGTAAAGAAGACTGGGCTGAGGGGGGTTTGTGGAGAGAGATAACTGATCTAAATGCAAAAGTCGATGCTGCCAAGGACAGGTAAGTGGCTGGCGAGAGTTCAAGCTGCACTTGTGTAGTGAAAGAGTGCCACCCTTTCGGTATTGCCTTTGGGTAAGTCAGTCAGAAATCCTTCAGACTCAGTTAGTACCCAACCTAGCGTCTATCGTTCATTTACGTTCTCTAAATTCACAGAACAGGGCCTCCCTGGTGGTGCAGCTGGTTGGAGCACTGCACTGAGAAGCTGGCCATGGCCGCTCGGGTGTGAGTTCGATTCCCAGCCTGGGGGTGACCCACATGGCACAGCAGACATCTCCTAACCCGCCCGCTGTATCACTCAGCAGTGTACTTCATCCATCTGCCTGTTGTGCTCCCCACTCTGTCTCTGGTGAATTCTCTCATGGTCCCTGCACCTTTAGCCTATACCTCAGTTCTGTATGCATAAACAAATAAATAATTTTAAAAAACCAACAAGAGAACAACCACAAGAACAAGGAGAGTAGACTAATGAGGAAGGATACTGACACTTACCAATGTATTTATAAGCTTTCCCCAGCTTAACCAAATGTGCTAGGGATTGCTCCACGATGCTTGCTGTCCACTGGTTAATGTTGTTCTGGTTGTAATCTTCACCACCCAAGACGCCATCTATACACTAAAACGGAAGAGGACAGAGAAATTACATACATATCGCAGCAAACAAATGTAATCAAAATATAAAATACATTTATAACCCAGTAGAACATCTTAGAAAATACCCAACTGATATTTATTATGCACTGTTTTAAATTAAGAATTCTCAAAAAATTCCCTCATGCATTATCTCACTGTAAATACTTTAAGTCACAGAAGGGTAAATATGGTATGGTCTCTGCTATAAAGAACTAACTCTAGCAGAGAAATTAATAAAAGACTCCATAACACAAGGAAAACTAATTGAGGGTGGTAAGTTATATCACAAAGGATTTATGAAGTAGGGTTAGAGATTTAAAAGGGTGACGATGATTGATTAAAAATAGCTTTGAAGCAGCTGGGATTTGAACTAGAAACAACGGATGAGAACGAATTTAAGAAAGTAACTCTCATGTATAATAATTATGTTCTCATTCATATTATGCAATTACTTGTCTATCAAACGAGTATACCTGCCACTAAAAGTCAATCAACAAACACTACATTTTAGGTACTCTAGACAGAAAGAGTTCAATCATTTTGCACTGTGCTTACCTGTCTTCACTCTGAAACCTTATTGAGAACAATGGTTGAGTAGCACAATCTTAAGTGTTTTCTTAAATTATATTTTTTAATTAAAAAAAACACTGGTTTACCTTGTTTTTTTAGAGTTTGCTGTTACTACGCCACACCCACAACCAAAGCACCCATACTCGTCCACTCTAGTCTGCTGCGCTCCCTCCCTGAGTTGTTCTCGATCCTTTCCCTCCTCTACCCTAGTCACTTTTCTATAGTCAAATTGTTAAGCTTGAGTTTCCTTTTGCAAAATACAAAGCATTAATTCAAAGGGAAACACAATCGTAGGTGTTTAGGTCATCTCTGCCTCCTACTCGCTGTGTGATTTTTGGCAAGTCACTTCATCTCTTGAATTCCCTATTTTCCCAATCCTTAAAGTAGGACTCATAGTCTCATCAGGTTGTCATGAAGATAGGGCGAGATAATGAATGCCAGGTGCTCAAACACAGTGACTGTCACACAGAGTAAGTACAGAAGCCATTTCAGGTATTATTACTGCATCACCATTATCATGCTGTTTTCTTTTTTCTAATTTTATTGCCAAAGAGTTGACAGAACATCGCGTTAGGTTTAAGATGTACAATACGATGATTTGACACATGTACCGGCTGAGAAAGGAAATGACTACCACAATGAACACATCCCTCTCCTCATAGTTATCGTGTGTGTAAGTGTGTGCATGTGTGTATCTCTCTGTGTGTGTGTGTGTGTTGAGAATATTTAAGATTTACTCTTGGCAACTTGCAAGTATGTAATAGAAAATTGTTACCTGTAGTCACTTAAAGCCCCAGAATTTATTCACCTTGTAACTGGGTTTGTACCCCATTTGACCCCTCCCCATTACCTTAGCCCCAGCTGCTGGCAGCCACCACTCTGCTCTCTGTTTCTATGAGTTCGGCTTTTATAGACTCTACCTATAAGTGATATCATACAGTATTTGTCTTTCCCCACTTTATTTTGATGCAATTACCTTAAGTCTAAAATGATAGAAACTGGACAATAAAGTGCTTGTCCATTTATAATCCAGTTCAATAAAATGCACACGTGCACACACACACAACACACAATGCAACTTTCATTTGCTGCAATTAGACTAGACATTCATACAGGCACTGATTCATAAAGGCACTGATGAATAGGAATCTTGATTTAGATAGTATAAAATCTTCACTAATGATAAAATGTAAACAGATATTAAATTTAGAAATGCTGACGTGGTTCACACTATTCCCCTAGAATGTTCAGTGACATGACAGTCAGGAGGGCCAAAAAGCTAAGCAGCCAGTTAACAGGGCTATAATTCTAGCTTTACCATTCCCAACTGACAACCGTGGCTCAGCAGATGCCTCCTCTCTACACTGCCTTTCCTTAATGGGAAACTCATTTTTTCCCTACTATAGGACCTGTGCAAGTTTTCCTCTAAGCAAAGGAAAACATTATGGTGCTGTAGATCCCACTGTAAACAGCCTTGCTGATTACCATTAATCGGCACTTAGCATTCTTAATTACCTTTAACCAGGAGGTCCACTAGATAACGAGGTTCTTAACCTACTCTGTATCCCCAGGGCTAACCTCAGGTGCTGGGCACTAGCAGGCATTCAATAAATGTTTATACTTCAAGTAATCTTGGCTTTAATATACTCTCTGGGCACCCCAAATCAAATGTATTTTAGACTAAGTTCCAAGTTAATTACATTTTTCTTTGAGAATTTGTTTGGGGGCAAAGTCTATTACTGACAGTAATTAGAAAATATGTTTATCAATCGGTAACTGGCTCTAAGATTTTAGAAGGAAAAATATGGCAGCTGAGGGGCTCAGAGTAAGGAATCTAAGAGAATGAAATAAAGAGATAAATGAGATAAAAAAACAATTTCTAGAATTGTTTATCATCCAGGAAGTACTGAAATGTATGCCTCATATAACCCATGCTGTCTCAATCAATCAGTCAATCAATCAATCAAAATAGTATGTTCCCATCTTTATAATGCTCAAAGACAGAAGACAGGTGGCTCACGGGACCGGGGGAAGGGGAAAGGAATAGCTGTGTAGCTGATAGTTACCACTGGCAAACCTGAGACTTTTTTGAAGTCTACTAGCTATATAAACAATTCAAGTGAAGTTTGATTTCACTTCACCATGCTAATTATGGAAACAAACAAAAGTGTGTGTTTATTAGCATTTTTATTTCAATTACTTATATTACTTAACTCCCTCTTCTCCATTCTGTTACTATTTCTCCCTGCAGACATGGGGTTACCTGGCAGGTGGGAGACAACCTTTGTAGCACCATGCTCATACAGGAGAGTGCCTCTCACACCTGGCCTTTCCACCCCGCCCATTGGCTCAAAGAACGGCACAAGACTGGCTAAATCTTCCTATCCCTTAATGCAAGCTTTCCCTCTTTTGAGGTCTGAAATGAACGGGTAAGGAGCTAACAAAACAAGTTCTACTTTTCAACCCAGTCTTTACCAAAAGTAGAGGTGACATGTTGTTCACTTCCAGGGACTCTTGTCTTTTCATTTGGTCCAGGACTTGGGTAAAGAAGAAATGCTATTTGAAAGCATCCTCAAATACTCCACCAAACTTTTCTTAGTGTCCCACTGACCAAGACCTCTTTAAGCTCTTTCTTAACACTTTCTTGATCACTTGCACAAATGACATGATCCCGCCTGTCTTTCCATGACCTCCACCCACTCCACCACTACCCAAAATGCCCTCATTTGTGCTTCTGGATCATGAAGGTATCGGAAGCATTTGCATTGTTTTAATAAACTCTCCTGGGCTGTGCCATCCCAATGCCCGATTTTGACTTGTCGTAATACAGCAGGATCTTCAGGTCCCAATCCAGCCCTTCAGACCTCAAGCGGGTCTCAGTTATATAGGGACAGCTTATGGGTGAGTTCTGGGTAAGCTCAGACCCTGAGCCTAAAGGCAGGGTGGACTCAAGAGGTGCTCAGTGCCCAGTGGACAAGCCAATCAGGCCAAGACCAAAGGCAGGAAGGCCTGCCTGGGCAGAGTCATAGTACCAGTTTGCCTTCTGGGCCAGCTCATTTTTACCCTAGAATTTGGCACAGTTAAAAATGACTCAATACTATTAAAACTGTTTCTAAATACCTTACCCACAGTGCAGTCTGTATGCAATACCACTAGATAAAATTTCTCTGCCAGAATTGAATCCCAAAGAGAACTTGCTTCACATGAGAATCACACTGTTTCCAATGATTTTCTTAAGACTTTTATTTAACATATATCGGTGCCTAAAAGATGTTAAATTATTATTTTTTTAATCAGTTAGGGCTAAAATAGAGTATACAATGACCAAAACCACGCTTCTAGGGTCTTTTATTTGACATATAGATATAGTTTACCTATATAAAAGTATGTGTATCCTATAATATATAGTGCATATATATATGTTTACATATATTTTCAATATTAACATTTAAAATAATGTTTGACCTATAAGAATAAAAATTATTTTGTTCACAAGATAGGGCACCAATTTTAGACAACAGCAAACCAGTTTTCTAGACTAATACTTAACACTTCCAGCGTAAGCCTCAAGAGGGTTGATTATACAACAAAACAGAAGTAAACCTAGAAAGACTCAGGACATATTTAAATCTTATTTTCATACTTGATACTTGCTTTAATACAGATACAGATTCTACAAATTCTAACTTTGTACTGAAATCCAAACAGTGTTTTAAAATATTTTGATCAATGCAGCATGCTTCAAGAGGAACAAGAAGTCTGACTTACCTCTTTAACAATATTGTGGGCTTCATCAGCATTAAAGCCAACCTAAAGGGAAAAACAAAAGGTAAAGTTGCTTTCAACACAACCTTCCTTTTATTTGCAGCATTGATGCTGGTCTAGACAAGTGTCAGTGACAAGAGATCACAGTGATAAGGGCCAGCAGGTATACTCAGTCTGCTAAGGCAACCTGGGACACTTAAATTGCAGGGTGCTGTCCCCACCTACGTAACTGGAGATTTTGATTCATTAGGCCTGCTGCAGAGCCTGAATAACTACACTCTCCTTAAAAAATGCTTTACTGGTGATCTGGAAGGATGCCCTAGATTGAGAATTACTGTACTGTAAAGGTGAAAAAATAGAAGGAGGTGTATATTAAAAGTACCTAGGAAATGGCCGCAGCTAAGTGAGAATGAAGTGACTCATGAAAAGACAATGCTGAATAGGCTTTCAAGTTTTGTTTATAATTTATGTTGGGCAACTATGTGGATTTTCTTAATTCAAGATTACAAAAATGCTTGATCTTTCAAAGTTAAGATCCCTTTAATATTATATAATAGGTCTGGTAACTCTGACCTTTCTTTGGACTGGCTTGTTAGAACTCTGAGCTAAAAAGCAACTGTTAATGACACCCAAGAGTCCTGGAGTAGAGAACTAGGCTATGTGGTGACATTGAAATCTACTCCCAAACACTGTAGGTGAGTACATTATTGGTTTCCATGGGGACATGATAGCTGCAATTGTGTAAATCCAACTTAAAATCAGTTCACAAAACATTCTGCAAATTAGTGTTGCCCTGTGTATAGATTTAAAATATTTTCAACTCATTGAACTACACCACAGAACTCCCAACTAACAAAGGAATAAAAACACCCTAATTAATTAGAAATACTATTTCACACTTTGACCTTATTAAAATGATCATTTTGCCTTACGTAAAGTGGGGTCCTTAGCTATTTCTTTCTTCAGAAGTGGCCTCAAATGACAAGATGTCCACTTGGAAGGTCACCAAATAATCAGGACGTACTGGGTGGCCCCAGGAACACATGTAACCTTATCTCTTTTCAAATAGGCCTAGTTAGGAAGTACTACAGGGCAGAAGCCTGGCAAAAGTCAGGAGACTGGCACTGGGGTGCTTGGGGGGTGCCCCTGAGGATGAATCAGCCATGGATTTGCTTGTGCGACAGATCTCTATTCCTAAAATGAAAATACCACTAACTTGTAAGCTTGCCACTTGCTGCACAGATCTAAGTAATTTAAATGCAGTTTCAGCTTCTGCAGAAGTTCACAAACTAAAGGCAGAGGGACCAGAAGCCCCTACCCGGGGTTCACAGCATCGTGCACCTGTGGTTATCAGTGGCCAGAAAACACCTTTGAGTATTTGTCCTTGTAGGCCTGTCACAGAGCGGGTAGCCACCCAACAGGCCCCAACCTCCTCTAAGTGGTTCCAGAGAAGGCACAGTTGTCCTGCGTAGTGGGAGGCCTAGGTTGAAAGGGAGGATCTGTGATGCCTGGCAGTTTTAACTTTGGGCAGGTCACTCAGCTGCCATGAAAGTCACATCAGTAACAGGAAGATAGAACTGACATCTGCGTGTTTCCGGGAGCAAGCGATCAACATCCCTAAATCATCTACTTCCAGCCCACCCAGGAGAGGGTGCTCGGGAGCTGAAGGGTTCGACCACCGGCTTTGCTCTAGGGGCGGGGGCACCTGTTTTGGGGACGCCAAGGGGCGGCGGGACAACCGGTTTCCAGGGCCCGCCCTGCAGACGGGGGGGGGGGGGCGCTCGCCACCCCATGCCCACCTTTCGCGCCCAAGTCAGCCCATTCACCCCTGGGCCTCAACCCCACTGCCGGCCCCAAGCGTTCCCGGCCGCCCCCGCCACCCAGCTTCTCAGTCCAACACTCTTATGGGCCTCAGGGAGGGGCGATCGGCCGGGCGGGGTGGGGCAGATCTCCGGCCCCGACCAGAGGCCCGCGTCTCGGAAGCTGCGGTACCCCAATTCTCCCGGCTTCCGGCCCTGGAGACCACCCGGCCAAGACCCCGCGCCGAGGCGGGCGGGGCGGGGGGCGCCGGCCGGCGGCCGAGGGGCGGTACCTCGTCGCAGTGGCGGTGGTACTCCTCCATGGTGGCGCTGACTTCCCCGGGGGGCGGAGCGACGGGCGGGCCCAGTTCGCGCTCGCGTAATGGCCACGGCTCCCCGCCTTTCGGTCCCGGGCGTTCTCCACGCAGACCCCGCCTTGGTGACGCTGGGGCACCGCCTTCCCGGTAGCTCCGGCAACTGGAAGCGCGCCCCGCTACCTTTGACCTTTAGGGGAACAGAGGATGGGTGTTAAAGAGCCAGTTTGAATTGGATGGGGTCATCTAGTGGCTGTGAGTCTAGAGGGTGTTGTTGATTGGGTGCCTGTAGCTGCGCTTGTCTGCACAGATTGATATCCAGCAAATAAGTGTGCAAGCCGCTCACCCCCGCTCCACTTACTAGTTATGCTACTTGGGGAAAGTTCATCTACAGACTCAGTTTGCTCATATAAAAACTTACTATTATACCTATTCCACGGTTTTTGTGAAGATCCAACGAATGTTGCATGCACAACTTCTTAAGTACAGGCTCCTACACCTCTCTGCCTTGACTGGGAGAAAGAAACATTGACTTAGAGGAGAGAATGTAGTGTAGCCTAAACTAAATTATAAATCTTAGCAGGAGAGCAATGATCACATTTATTTGAAAATGATGAAGTTTCAGTCGATCCCAAGGATTTCCTCACTTAAACCCACATTAAGTTCTGTTTCCATCATTCTCTTTTTCAAGATAAGACTCAGCACAGAAAGTTTAAAGAATTCCCCCAAGGCCTTATTTCCAGAAAGTAACAGAAAAACTTAAGTAGTCTGAGAACAACACCAAGTTCTTGATCTCTGTATTCAACGCTTATTGTTGCTATAATAAATTACCATAAATTTAGTGGCTTGAAATAGCACAGTTATTGTTTTAAAGTGCTGGAAGTCAGAAGTAGTAAACTATATTCTTTCTGGGAGCTCTAAGAGAATCCACTTTCTGGCCTTTTGCAGCTTCTAGAAGCTGCCTGTGTTCCTAGGGTCACCCCCTCCAGCCAGCAGTTTTACATCTTTTCTCCTCTCTGATCTTTACTTCTACCTTCACATCTTCTATAATTATAATTCATAGAAAAACTCATCTCTCTCCTCTTTCAGGATTTTTTTTTATTACCCCATGAGCAATTCCAATTTTTATGAGGAGGCTCAGCTGCACAGCTGTGAAAACCAGGCTTACTTTCCTAAAGAATTGTTTGTCTATATAGATCAAGCATAGCTTCATACTGTGTGAAAACTCATAAATATAAAATTAGGTAAAGAATTATTGTTCCAGCTGAGACAGGAAGGGTCCCAGGACAAGAACTGAGCAGGATTCACGGACAAAATTTTGCTGTTCTCACAGGTTGGTAAACAAGAGGTTAAAAACCTGATGACTCTAGGCCTGGACCCCTGAGCCATAAATTTCCTTGGATCCTTGTGCTTCTTTGTTACCATTTCTGAGCTATCTTTCCACAGCTTGATGATTTGGCTGCTATGGGAAGAAAAGGGGGTTGTAGAACCAGAAGAGTCACTGACCTTGAAGCAGACCAGTTCAGACTGGAGCCTTGGGAACACAGCCTCCTTGAGATGTTCCCCTCGGAGATGGTCAGGAGCCCTGCATGACCCCCGAGCTACAGCTGATGGCACTCCCAACTGGCAACAAGAAATGGACTTTAACAAGTCCGCTCTCCTTGTTCTATCAACCAGTAGAGTTTAATTCCCTTGTTCTCCAAACCCAGTCCTAAAGCCTACACTGGCCCCTAGCACTGGCACTTCAAGGAGTTTCTCTCATGTCCAGAGAAGTCTCCCCAGAGTTCTGACTGGTGTCTGTGGAGTCCTTATATCAATATTTTTAAAGCCATACACTCTTTTAATTGTTAAATCATAAAGAAGTATGAAAATAAAAAGGAAAACTTATACAGGAGACAACGTAACTACTAGAACCATCAAAGGAAGTGAAAATGGGACTAGGCACGGGGCAATATGAATGAATAAACATGGGAAGGACACGGGTGGGGAGAATGGAAAGTGTGTGCTGAAGGTACCAGGGGAGAGGATCTGCTAAAAATGTTGATTTTAGACAAGTGCCCAGAGAAAGAAAGAATAGGACAAGCCTTCTAAACCCCATTATGTGCTGAAGAGTCATTCTCGCCATTGGCGCTCTCTCATCCTCTCCTTCCTCTTTTTCATAGTTCTCTATCAACCCCAGTCCCTTGTTTTCAATGCTCCTGTTTAGTCCGTCCCTCCCCCCACCCCCCACCCCAAGCTTTCCAGTGGAGAATTCACACCATGCCAAGAAATTTTAGGCACCAGGGACTACAAGTTCCATCATGCCATCCTGAAGCGGGGCTTGCTGGGAAAAAAGGGTGGAGTTAAGCAGCCATGCTCGCTATAAAATCAAACACAGCCTGCGGTTACTGGTGTTGCCTGCCTTCAGCGTACACGGGCTTCCTGTGCAAACGACGTTACAGGTAGAGCACATTGATCAATTCATCTCCCTCTCTTTCTCTGTGTTCACTCCTTTTATTTTTCTTATAAATGAATCTCTTACTAAACTTTCCCCGCGTGCCTGCAGGGAAAGCCTCTTTTTAAGTTTGTAAGCGGGTGGGAGGACCCACATCCAAGCCATCTCGTTCCCCCTTGAGGCAGTCTCGTAATACAAGGGGAAACCGAACGTCTCAGATAGGTGCCTGTTTCCCAAGCATCTCCCGGAGTTTCCTAGCACTCTGGTCAATCTTGACCAGGTGGTCTCGGGCTCTTACAGGGCTTGAGTGCACTGTCCGGCCCCTTCCGCCTCTCCCTTTGATTCCCCAGCAGGTGAAGCAGTGGACAGAGGCTGGTTTGCTTCCCGCTAATTGTCTGTGTTGGGGGAGGTTGGAAACCTGGCTGAGGAGCCCTGAGTTTGTTTCCTTGTCCAGTGACACCACGACCATCCGTGCATAATAAATAACCTCAGAGTTTAGCAGCAGGCACGTTTATTTTATTGGATTATGTGCGTGGATTCCATTGGCTAGAAATTTGGGTAAGGCACAACCAGAAGAACGTCTCTACATGATGTCTGGGGCCTAACTGCGAATACTCGGGGACAGAAGATAAATGGATGATGGGGGCTGCGAACATACTCTTGTCTGGCGTCTGGGCTGGCCAGAATAAAAAAAAAAAAAATGGACCGCTAACTGGAGCACCAGCGCGTAGTCCTACCAAGTGCTTGACTTCCTAACATGGTGGCAGTGTTAAATAGTGAGAAATCTTATATTGCAACTCAAAATTCCAAGTTCCATCCAAGAAGTCAGAAGCTATATTGGCTTTTAGCCTCACAAGTCTCAAGGCATCACTTTCACCATACTCTAATAATTGAAACTGTTTAATAGCCCAATCAGACTCCAGAGGAGGGGACATAGAAAACACAAGTGTCAGGTTAATTTGGAACCATGTTTTAAAACCATTGCAACTTTATCTAGTTACTATCCCAGTTGCAAGTAATAGAAGAATGGGCTGAAATAATTAGGACATTTGTTTTGTAGAATAACCAAAAATGCAGAGACACTGATGCTCCAGGTTGGTTCAATTGCTCAACAATTTTTCAGTGCTTTGCACAATGCTATCCTTGGAATATCAGCAACATTGAAAAAAAAAAAAGATTTATTGGGCCCTCCCTGGTGGCGCAGCGGGTTAAAGCACAGCACTAAGAAACTTAGGCCACTTTCGCATGAGTTCGATCCCCGCCTGCCCCGGAGGTGACCACATGGCGTGGCAGACC